CTGCTCTCAGGTCAGCTGGGGATGCTGCACAGCCGCCCATATAACAGAGGCAGAGGCTTTGGATGGCAGGATCTGGAATCTCTCACCTTTGAATAGCACGCATTTACTATGACACATTTTAGCATATACACTGGACAGATACAAGGAGTTCTTCAAGGACTGATCTCCTTGCTCCTAAGGAGCTAGCTGGTCCCCAGTCTAGTCATCCAGAACACTGAGAGCCAGCTGGGGACTTTGGAGTTTGCAAGTGTTGGGGATGTCTCTGTCTGTCTGCTCCTAAGCCAGCCCCAACAGGAGGGGCAGTTTCCAGAAACATCCATCCTGTCCTCTGGCCGAGGCATATACCAAAGGAGGTGAGGCTGGGGGTCACGGGCAGGTAACCCAGTTCAGTTGTGTCCATGTGGGCTGCAGACCTGGAGGCAGCACCTCTTGGTCCCTCCCTAGCTCCCAGTCCTCTAAAGGTGGTGCCTTGTGAGAGCCTGGACCTGGAGGGACCCCAGCATGTCCCCTCCTCCAACCCTCAGAGGAGGACAAGACGGAGCAATCAAGAGGAGCTATTTGAAAAACAAAACTGGCACCCCTGGGCTGGCACAAGGGACCAGTCTCCTGACTTCTTTATTCAACCACTTGTTTCATCCCAAAGGACAGCACCCACAGGGGCTTTAATTATTATCATTACCTTTATTTATTTATTTATATTGGTGCACAGGCCACACACAGCACATATGTAGAGACCAGAGAATGACGTGGGGAGTCAGTTCTCATCTTCCACTTTATTGTAGATCCTAAGCAGCCAACTCAAGTCCTCAGTTCAAGGCCAGCCTAGGGTAAATGAGACCCTGTCTCAAAAAGAGAGATGGGGTGTTTTAAGCTGAGGGTGAGGCAGAAAATAATCATAAATTCAAGGCTAGTCTGGGGCTGCTACACAGTGAATTCCAGGCCTGTCTGGGCTACATAAAGACCTGTCTCAAAAAAAAAAAATAATAATAATAATAAGGGCTGAAGGGATGGCTGCGTGGATAAGAGCACCCACTGCAATTACCTAAGACCTGAACTGGGTTCTCAGCACCCACATCAGGAGATCCACAACTGTGTGTAACTTCAGTTCCAGGAGATAATGCCTCTGGCCTCCTCGGGCACCCACATTCACGTGCACAGCGCCCCCTACACCTACACAAAGTTTAAAAAATAAAATAAATCTTTAAAGTAATAATAATAATAATAATGATAAAGCAATTTTAGCTCAGAAGCTAGAGGACCTGGGTGTGAACTCTTGCCCATCTAGCCATGTGACTAACCACGTGACATGAAGCAAGTCTCAGGCTCTCTGAGCTTCAGGGTTTCAGTGCAACCCATTGCTGAGCCTGCATGTTGGTGGTGTGTGAGGCAGACATAATGCAGGATGGCGACTGGCCCATGGCTCCCACGAAGTTCATCTGCTGTCAGAGGGAGAGGGTGGGCAGGAGGATCATAATTCCAGGCAGGTGAAGCCACAAAGAGGCATGAGGGGCGCGTGGGAGAAGAGAAAAGAGGAGGAAAATAGATGGGGGGAGCTGAGGGGAGAGGAAGAGATGAGAAGAGGGGACAGAAGAGGAGGAAGGGGGAGAAAGGGAGGAAAAGGAAGAGGGAAAAGTTAGGCAGAAAGGGGGTAGTGGCTTTTTCTGTTGGGAAGGCTGATAGAAATGACCCCTAATCCCCTTCCCAAGACTAACATCACAGGGCTTTGGGTTGAAGAATGGCTTCCTCCATCCCAGGTGGATGACAGATGATGAGTGAGAGACGGCAGATGAGGCCTCAGGGCCCAGCAGTGGGAACTTAGTGTCACTGACGTGGGCAGAGGAGTGGGCAGGCTCTGGCCAACTGCAGAGAGGGGTCAGTGAACGGCAAAGAAGCAAGTGCAAGAACCCAGTCTCTCCAGAGCTCCCGCAGAGGTGACCCCAAACCAAATCAGTCTCCTTGCAAGCTGGTAGCACGTGCCTAAGTCTTCACCCTCAGCTCCACAGCAAGTCTGGGGCTGCATGAGATCCTATCTCAAGCAGCCATGACAAGACTAGGTCCACACGACACCCACAGTCTTTCCATCTATCCCGCAGCTTCCCAGCTTGTCCTGCCTTCAAATGCCATTGAGGCAAACTGTCTCAGGGTTATACCATGGCTGTGATAGAACACCCTGGCCAAGGAAAGTTGGAGAGGAAAGAGATTCTTTGGCTCACATTTCCACATCACAGACCATCATCAAAGGAAGTCAGGACAGGGACTCAAGCAGGGCTGGAACCTGCAGGCAGGAGTTGATGCAGAAGCCATGGAGGAGGGCTGCTTACTGGGTTGCTCTCTGTGGCCTGTTCAGTCTTTTCTTTTCCTCATGCAATACATCCCAGCTAAAGCCTCCCTTCCATTCACACCTCCACCCCCACCTCCCTTCTCCCCCAGATCCAATGCTCCTCCGTTTCTCTTTAGAAAAGATCAGTCCTCCCAAGGAGATCAACCAAACACAGAATGACCAGGCACACAGCCTCATAGCAAGGCTGGATGAGGCAACCCAGTAGGAGGAGTAGGGTTCCAAGAACAGGCAAAGGAGTCAGAGACACCCCCACTCCCACTGTTAGGAGTCCAACAAACTCTGCGAGCTAAACAATCACAGCATGTATGCAGCGGGCCTAGCACAGACCCATGCAGGTCCCACGACCGCCGCTTTTGTCTCTGTGAACCTCTATGAGCCCCGCTAGGTTGTTCTGTGGGTTGTGTTCTTGGAGTGTCCTCGACCTCTCTGGCTCCTACAGTCCTCCCTCTCCATCTTCTTCAGGGTTCCCCAAGCTCCACCTATTATTTGGGTGTGAGTTTCTGCATCTGCTCCTGTCAGTTGCTGGAGGAAGCCTCTAATGAAGATGGGGCTAGGCACTGATCTACGAGTCTAGCAGAACATCATTAGGAGACATTCCATTGACTGTTTTCTTTCTTTCTTCCTTCCTTCCTTTCTTTCTTTCTTTCTTTCTTTCTTCCTTCCTTCCTTCCTTTCTTTCTTTCTTTTTTTGGCCAGTTACATTTGGTTCTACCCTAGGTCTTTGAACCATTCAGCTTCCTGCTCCTGGTCACCCACAGCCTGGTTTCTTATAGAACTCAGGACTACCAGCCCAGGGATAGCACTACCCACAATGGACTGGGCCCTCCCCCATTGATCACTAATGAAGAAAATGCCTTAGAGTCAGATCTTATGGAGGCATTTCCTCAACTGAAGCTCCTTCCTCTCTGACAACTCTAGCTTGTGTCAAAATCACATAAAACCAGCGAGTACATAAATACACCCTCATCCCAGATTGGCATTCTACTGCAGACTTCATGGTGGCGTCTAGCAGTGGCCATCTTGGAGAGGAAGTTCTAAAGAAGGCAGGGAAAGCCTTTAAGAAGAGGGGACAGGGCAGGGCGGGGAACGGGGTGTCAGTGTATCTGGCTTGTGTCATAAGCCACAAGCAAACCTTCATAGGCCAGGATTCAGAAGGACCCTCTAGGTCAGTGCTCCTGGCCACTGCTGTGACAGCAGGAATAGGACATTCCCAACTCTTTTGACATCCCTGCCCCAAGTGGCTGTCCAGAGAAACGGGGGTGATTGGGGTTTACAAGCAATTTCTGCTTTTCACCAGGTCTGCCCCAAACTGGAGAGAAAGGTTGTCCTGAACTAGGTCGTAAGCCTCTGGAAGCAGAGGGTCGGTCGGTCGTTACTGAGGAAACAAAGAGAAAACAGGAAGAGGCCTGCAGAGCTGGGGAAAGGTCCGAGCAGGAAACGGAGGGGTGGTGCAGGGGTGCAGTCTGGAAGGGCTGTTATGGAGCAGGAGGCAAGAGACATCACTCTGGGGGGTGGGCTGCAAATTAAAATGTGCATTTGGTCCTGGGATCTGGGTGGAGCTCAGGAGCACAGTATGGGGCCACATTGTGTTCCTGGTATCCTGAGCCAAGCAGGACAAGACTGGACAGGGCTAAATCTAATCTCAGAGCCTCCCAGCTGGGCCCATCTTCCCCTCCAACTGTAGAGGACAAGCCTAGCCCCCTGCCCAGCTCCCTGAGCACAGGACCTCTCCAAATGGTGGCTCTTCTCCCATCCGTGCATCCTGGAGCATGCTGCTGGTGAGGGGCACTCCCTACCCCCACCTCCTGTCTCTTTCCATCTCTCTCTCTCTTTCTCATCTATCTTTCTTGGGTCTCTTCATGTAGCTGAGGATCACCTTGATCTTCCTGCTTCTAGTTCTCAAGAACTGGCTTTATAATAATATGCCACCACAGTCTGGTTTGTGGGAAGTTGGGGGTTGAACCCAGAGTTTCCTGCATGCTAGGCAAACACTCTACCAACCAGGCTTCATCCTTAGTCCGAGACTCTATTTTTTTTAAAAAAAAATTTGTTTGTGGTTTGTTTTTTGAGACAGGGTTTCTGTGTGTAACCCTGGCTGTCCTGGAACTCACTCTGTGGACCAGGTTGGCCTCAAACTCAGAAATTCACCCATCTCTGCTTCTTAAGTATTGGTATTAAGGGTGTGTACCACCATGCCCAGCTTTCTCTCTCTTTCTCTCTCTGTCTTTCTATTTACTTAGGTTAAAAACATATTTTTAAAGATTTACTTATGTATGTGAATGTAGGTGCCTGCAGAGGCAAAATAAAAGATGTCAGAGTCCCCGGAACTAGAGTTTAGGTGGTTGTGAGCTGCCAATATGGATGCTGGGAACCAAATCCCTGTCCTCTGTAAGATCCATCACTACAAGCATTTAACCACTGAGCCAACACTTTAGCCCATATGATCTCTGAGCTAAATGCAATGGACTAGAAAGAGTGGATCAGATGGTAGCTCAGATACATCCTATGATGGCATGAACCATTCCAATTCAGAGACATGCCTGAGCACACTTGTGTGCCTGCACAAGACTGCACACAGAAGCACCAGCATGCATAGGTGCAGGCTCACATTTAGCCATGCAGATGCAAGGCTGCATGCACATCTGCCTCACTCCTGTACCTGTCTTCCTCAAGGGCTTCCTCTGCCACAGCCCTGTCTTTATCTTTCTTGTCGTGCTTGGGCTCCATGAGAACCTCTTCATTGGGGCACTAGTCTGGGTGAGCATATACTTGCACTGAATGAGTGGGTGGGGCAGGCCAGGGACAGGCGATGGATCTGTGCATGTCCATGGTACAGCCCCACTTTCTTGGGAGCAGGGGGCAAACACCTACCTATGGTCCTCTCCCTCTTCTTTGTCCCCACTGGAGAGAACAAGTGGGGTTGCTAAGTCTTCTGTAGGCACTGCTCCTTTTAGACCCTACTGAGTGACAGCCCAGGGTCTCTTGTACCACCACAACTGAGCAGAGATCAGGGAAAGTGGTTATATGGTGACAAGAGCAGAAATGAGTGCAATTGGGCCCACGGCAGCACAAGATGGCCAGTCCATCCTGGTCCCACTTGTGAGTCTCCATGGCCTTTATACTTTTCTGCATCAGAGGGCAGGGCCCAGTGAGCATGGGGGCCTGTGAGAAACCAGAGATCCCCTCCCTTCTGGTCTTGCCCTGCCTCTGTCTCAAGGACCTAGATTTGCATGGACCCAAACCCTGTGCTTTGTGTTCCCAGGAGGCCCTGGAACGTGTGGTGGCAGCAGCAGGAGGCAGAGGGGGATGTCCGTGGGGAGGGTTGTTGGGATTCAGCAGGCCGTGGTTAGCCTAGGTGTCCTTAGGTGAGGGCAGTGCTGAGCTTGGAGACTGGGTGGCAGGGAAGCGAGAGTCCTGTCTCAAGTTCGGATACATCAAAGTCCAAAGAATCTAATCATGGCCCTGGATAAGGAGCAGGATCCGGACCGGACCCAAAAGTCCCAAGCTAAACACTGATAATGAGCTCTGGACGATCTGGCCCAGTCTCTGCCTTGCCACCCCTCCCCAGTGAAGCCTCAGCTGGGTGGCCCTGCCAGGCTTGCTTGGGTCTGTATGGGTGTGCTGGTTAGGTGTCTGAGTTCTGGGACGCATGTGGTGACTTCCTGGGATGTGACAGGGCCAAGGATGTGTCCTGTGTCTGAGGAGAACAGAGAGCTTGGATGGGGAACTTCCTGAGAGATGCCCTTGACAGGAATGGGAGGTTCTAACCGTACAGATGGGAAACTGAGGCCTGGAGCAGGTAAGGGACTGATGGTTTCCGAGGGTCTTCATGTGCTACATGGGAACTGCCAAAAGGATGGATCCAGAGGCCTCAGGTGACCCCGAAGATGTTCTGTCAGAAGCTCCCCTTGTGCAGATTCCGAGGAGACCTGCTTTCAGAGGTGTGCAGAGTGCAGAGAAAAACCCCCCCCCATACACACACACCCTTTCTAGAGTAGCTGAAGCATGATCCTGATGGCCTAGGAGGATCTCTCAGGGTCCTCTCTGCTGGTGTCCCTCAGGCCTACTGTGAACATTACTGTGGTCTCAGCCATAGACAGCATCGCTACCCCAGTGTCTAAAGTCTACGGTGTATGGGGGTTTGCCATCCCGTCCGCCCTCAGACAGCAGAGGTCAGACTAAAGCTGCAGGCGGTTGATGTGGCCGCACAAAGCCTGTCCTCTGGGATAGTGAGGGTATGGCAGAGGACACACTGTACAGTCTCTGGCTCCGGGGATAGGACACAATTGTCAAGGTTTTGTCCTCTGGGTCTCTTGCTAGGATCTGCCACTCCTCCCATATTTCTTCCTCACTTGGGGAGTGGACCCTCCTTCCTGTCCCAGGCCTCAGAGCTCTCCTCAGTTTCTCCTCCCCTCCTCTCATGTCCTCTTCCCCACAGCAGTGGGTGGGCATCACTGACCCACATCCCATCAGGGTCACCATCTCAGTGGGAGGTAGGGTGTCCACAAGGAACGGGGAGCACAAACATTAGTTCCTAACAACTCCCAGCTTCTGCCTCCTTCCCACGCCCTCCTCAGCCCTGGCATCCATCCAGCAGCAAGATCCACCCCTTTACACCCTACACAACATGGCATCTGCTCAGGACCCCCTCCACAAGCGTTCGACTGCTCCTGGGTCAAGTCCACCTTTCCCGGCCCATGTGTCCTGTTTCTGTAACTCCAGCCTGTGCCGTCCTCTCCCTGCACAGCTTCCCTGGTCTTCTCTGAACCTTCTTCCATGAACTCAAGTCTGCCTGTCCTACTCCGACCCCAGGGCCTGTGGACCTGCAACTCCCTCTGCTTGGAATTTCCTTCCCTCAGCGGAGCCTCAGTCTTTGTCTTGGCTCCAATCTAACCTCCCAGAGGCCATCCTTGACTGTGGAATGCAACACTGTGGGGCGAGGTCTCATTGGTCCTCCACGGCTAGGTCCCTAGCATAGTGTCTCCTACCCTAGCAGGTAGATGCTCAGTAAATACTTTGTTGGATGGATTGATGGATGGGCACTTGCACTGACCGAACCCCAAGCCTCCTCACCACCCACAGCCTGGCCCCCAAAGGCCATTCATAGGTACACAGATCCATATTCCACAGGCTACAGAGGGAAGTTACCTCCACTTTCCCTGCCCACCCCAAGCTATTCTTCTCAGCCCCTCCCCACCTACTTCTTTGCTCTATAGTCCAGGCTCTCCCCTCTCAGCGGGCTAATTGCTAGGCCCACACCCTCCTCTCCTTCTCAAAATCTACAGGATCAGGGCCCACCTCCTTCAGAAATGTTCCTATATCAGCTGACTGTTGCTATGAAAACCACAACAAAATTAAGCTCATGTTGTGTGCCAGGTAACCACTGAGAATTTTAAGTGCCTTTTTGTGTGTGTGTGTGTGTGTGCACGCACACACACATACACACCCATAAGTAAACGTACATGTGTGTGAGGGGATGTATGCATGTGTGTGTTTGTTGCTTCCAGTGGTGGATGTCTGGTGTCTTCCTTAATTTTTTGTCCACATTAATTTCTGAGACAGGATCTCTCTCACTGAACCTGGATGGAGCTCACTGATGCAGCTAAAATGACTGGCCAGCAAACTCTAAAGATCCTCCTGTCTCTGCCTCCCCAGTACTGCTATGCTTGGCTATTTATGTAATTGCTAGAGATCAAAATTACGTTTTTTATTTTACTCATAGCAACTTCTAGGCACCATTCATTCCCCATAATAGTTGAAGGAACAGATTCAGAGTAGGTGAAGGATATGCCTGAGGTCGCACAGCTATCAGAGACATGAGCCTATCTCCCATAATCCTGTCCTTTTAAAGCTTCCCTCTCCACCTAGACAAAAGCTTTTGGGGAGTCTGAAGCTTTGTTAGGGCTCACCTCACACAATCCAGATTTTGTGTCCTGGACGTCCAATGTTTACTTGGGAAATCAGGGTCACTGTACCTGTGTACACTGGGCCTCACCCCCCATGAATCAAATCTGTTGATGTGTTCCTAGGAAAAGGGAGACAAGGAGCCTCCAGGAACACCTGGTACCTCTTCCCTACCCCCATTCTTCAGGCTGAGCCCCAGCTGCTCCTAGCACTGCTGGGCTGCCCCAGTCTGGTACTCAGTCCAGAGCAGACCAGCCACTCCAGGCTCACATTCCTTCCCCCAGGGAGTTAGAGCCCTGTACTCAACTCTTCCCTGCCACACTCCTTCAAGGACTCTCCTACCTGGAGGGAGGGAACTGGGACAGGCAGGACAGCAGGTGGGAGGAAGCAACAGGAAGAGTCTTCCCCAGCCCCCAAGGGCCACAGCTCCCTGCTAAAGAAGGGGACAGAGCTGAAGAAGGGGACAGGGAAGACACAGGTTCAGTGGGAGGTTCACTGTTCAAAGCCAATCATCACGTCTGGCACAAGAGTAATGCCCTTGACCCCCTGACCTCTCAGGTCCTCGCCAGGGACAGCTCTGCCAGCAGTGTCCATCCTGGGGCCCAGAGAAGTGTCTACCCAAAGAGCAAGACAAGAGACTGAGAAGATGCCACAGTGACCAGAGCACTTTTCTGCCCATCTCCAGCACAGAATAAAGCTTCAGGAAGTGCTAAGCCAAGGGACAGGGATAGTAAAGCTCTGATGACCCAGCCTCTGTGGAGACACTCTTCCCACCCTTTTCTGAAATCCGAGTTCCCATGCCTAGCGTTCCATCAGCTCCATGCCCACAGCAAGAATTGGTGTCACCTAATCCCAGGGCATACTCAGAGGGCTGAAAGGGAATAACACCTGGATGAATGGACCATTCTGAGCTTGATTTGCCAAGAACTCCCAAGCTAGACGGGGCCGGGGACAAGGAACGCAGCAGGTGTCTATATAGAAAAAGACAGGATGGTTTCAGGCCAAGTTTGAGTTCTCAAGAATCAGTAGTGAAGTGAACACTTACAGTCTGTGTTGGTAGAATTACAGTGTCTGGAGCAGGGCACTGTCTGGTTGGAGGCAAGTGAAGGTCAGCCCTAGGTGCTGTTTTCAGGCATGGCTCAGACAGTAGCTCAGGAGGCATGCTGGGGGGAGTCAACTGCAGAGATGATGGACAAGGGGGTGATGGAAACAAGCCGGTCACTATCCATCTACTGACCACTTGACTACAAGCCAGTTGCATGGTTAATAATGGGGGGACATTTTCTTATTTGACTCTGGCAATAATTCCTGGAGGGAGGGACTGCTATTATTCCTATGCGGCTGATGAAGAAAAAGTGGTCAGAAGGTGCCACGAAGTCTCTGGTGAAGGGACCATGGCAGGAATATATGCTGACATTCTAGCTGGTTGTGATGGCTAATCCTTTCTCTCTCTCTCTCTCTCTCTCTCGTTAGTTTCTTGAAACAGGGTTTCTCTGTATAGTCCTGACTGTTCAGACTGGCCTCAAATTCAGAAATCTGCCTCCCGAGTGCTAGGATTAAAGCTGTGTGCCGTACTGCCTGACAGTTAATCCAGTCTTTAAGATTTGCTCTTATTTTGGTGGTGGCGCACACCTTTAACCCCAGCAGTTGGGAGGCAGAGACAGGTGTATCTCTGTGAGTTCAAGGCTAGTCTGGTCTACAGAGCAAGTTCCAGGACAAGCTACAAAGCTACACAGAGAAACCATGTCTCAAAAAAACAACAAAAAAATTGCTTTTATTTATGTCCATGTTATGTGCACATGTTCCCACAGAGGCGGGAGAGAGGTGCCGGGTGCCCTGGAGCTGTAGTCACAGGAGGTGTGAGCAGGCCAACACGGATGATAGGAACTGAACTTGGCTTTTTTGCCTAAGCAGGGTGTGCTCTTAACTGCCCAAGCCATCTCCAGCCCTGCACTGGTTAACTCTGAGTGTCTACTTGACCAAGTTTAAATCCCCTAGGAGACCAACGTTTGGGCACGTATAGGAGGGGTTTTCAGGCTGGTTTAACTGAGGTAGGAAGAGCATGGGGGCAGCATTTTACGGGTTGGGGTCCCAGACAGAACAAGGAGGAAGTGAGTTGAACCTCCGCTGACTGGGAATGGATACCGTGTGACGTTGCCTCACACTCCTGTATCACGTCTGTCATCCATGATGAGCTGTGGCCAGGCACGTCTGTCATGGCGATGGCACAGGTAACTAATGCTCCACCCTGCTTGCTGGCCAGCTCCTCTCCGCCACAGATGGCCATGGCTTAGATGGAGACTCGCAACATTTATCCTGACCTCTTCACCTCTGAGTAGGACTTCACTTGAAGGTACTTGCTGGAGCACCCAGTACTCAGGATCATTTAACCTGACCTCCTACACACCTGCCCTGCCCCTCCCATGGATAGGAGCTGTCCCTGAGGATGTACAAGAGCACAGGAGCAGGGTAGATCTGTGGGTGTTGGGTAGGCATGGGAGGAGCAGGGTCACTGGGTAGTTAAGCTGAGGTCCTGGCCTGGAATTCCAAGTTGGGCACTGGAGTGTGCTCTACTGAGAACAGAGTCATTTGGGTGGGGGAGTGGTCCTCAGTCTGGTCAGGCCTGGCCCAGAGCAGGGGTGGGATGGGGCGAGAAGGCCACACGACTGGCATCCAGCCCCAGTAGAAGCCATTAATTAACTAATGGCCTGAGGTGAGTCTCTTCACCTCCTGGCCTGTTTCCTCTCCTGGACACTAAGATAACAAAACCTGCCCAGCGAGGCCTGACAGAGATAAATGGTCTCAGCCGCTCTGTGTAGACTTGGTGAAGCCTTGTTATTACACAGGGGTGGGTTTGGGGAGGGCCTCTCCAGTCTGACCTGAAATGTCACTCACAGACAGGATGCTGCATCCTCTGTTTTTCTGAGGGAAGCCCAGGGGGCCAGCAGTGCCCACATCTAAAGAAGAAAACAGGTGCTCCGCCACTGGTGTTGGCTATGATTTCTGGACGAAATGGCTGATTCCATCTAAGCTCCCAGCCCTGACTTTTGAGGGACAGGTCCCAACACAAGGGCAGCTGTTACCTTCCTGGGCACTGTGCCCATTTGCCCATCCATCCCTTCCTGTAGGAAAGCTGTCCTCTCTCACCCTACCCTATCCCTGAGAGAGGAAAATTCCTATAGTAAATGTGGGTCAGAGGCAGAGGGGAAGGTGAGGGCCCCACCGGGCTGGGATCCAATTTCTGGGGCCTGTGTCTTGAACTTTCCCACTGCAGCAATGGTAAGCTCCGAAGTTGGGGGCCTCAAGAGTGGGGACAACTGTTGGTTGTCCTCAGGAACAGCTGGGCTCCTTGGTGTTGAGACCATGTCTCTTGGCTGGGCTGGAATTTGTTCGCAGACCAGGCTTGCCTTAACCTCAGAGGTCCACGTGCATCTACCTCCAAAGTGCTAGATCTAAAGGTGCAGGGTAGTACACTTAAAATCTGTCCACTATCGAAGTGGAATGGCGTTCACCATCTGGCTGGCTACCTGTCATATCAGCTCCGGGTCTTCCATGTGCAGAATGAGGCCCACTTGCTTAACCATTCAGTGGCAGAGCCAGGGACAGAATTGGGTGTCTTGACTACAGCAGGAGTCTGGAGGACTGGGGGTGTAGTTTAGCATGAACTGTTTGCTTAGTATGCATGAGGCCCTGGGTTCCATTCCCACAGGCGAGAGGAAGAAGAGAGAAAGAGGGCAAGAGACGAGGGAAGGAGGAAGGGAAGGGAAAAGCCACTCTGTCAGCATGGTTTCATAATTGCTGAAGTGTGGTTAGGGTCCTAAGGCCTGACCCTGGCACAGCTGTATCTGCCTCCACCCTGTGCCCCCAGCCCCCGGCTGACCTTCCTGTGTCTGGACATAAGCCCTCTTGGAGAGACTGCAAGAGCAGGGACATGTGCTGAGGACACAGAAGGCTGCAGAGGCCAGGAACACCCTGCCACAGTGCTGAAGCCAGTCTGATCTGCAGAGGGTTATCCCTCAGTGCAGAGAACAACGGTGGTTGGGGGAAAGAGGGAGAAGGGTCTGCCGCCAGGAGCTCCTGGGTGAGGCAGTAGTCTCCTCCTGCATCCTGCTGTGACCAATCCTCTTTGTGCATTTTAGAGAGTGCAGGTGACATCCACTTGTCATGAGGGCCTTCTCAGTCTAATCTCCAGGCAGAAGATCGTGGCAGAGGAAAACCGGGGAGCCCCATCCCGGACTGTTGCTTTGATGGGGAGGGCCACATGATCACGGCACAGGACAGGGAGCCACACAAGGAGCACCAGAGAAAAGACCTGTCTCTGTCTTGGACAAACTGGCTCTCATGCTCACTCCGGCTTCAGAGCTCATCACAGGGAGGAGGCACAAATAGCCTGAGGAAGAATGGAGTCCCTGCCACAAGAGGGCACCAGGTGGCCTGAGTGATGGGGGCTGGCAGGAGCCCGCTGGGCCTGTTGGGCCTGAGCTAAGGTACAGGTCCCTGGGGGCTCCATCCTGGGGCAGTCCTCCAAAAGAGCCTCCAACAACAAGCTGGAAGGCTGGGCAAATGTCATATGGTTTTCCCTGGGCTACTTCTGGGATTTTAGCAAAATCCTGTGTGAAGTTTCTGGCCTGGGCTCAGCTGTGCTGGGGGTAGCTGAGGAGCAACTGTGCTCTACCTTTGGGCCAACATGTTAAGGGGCAGCAGTAGCCCCCAGGGGCTTGCCTGGAGGGGTGCAGGGGAGAGTCTTGTGAAATGGCTCTCTTCCCCTCCCTGGTCCATTTCAGCTGGGATGAGAACATCATCTCTTGGGGAACCTTTCCTCCAGTTTCCCTCTACATCTGGGCTCCCAGCAATGGGGTCTTATTCTGCAAGAGCTCATCCATCCCTGGTAACTGTAAGTTTTAGGCTTCTTAGAGAAGAAAAAGAAATGACCAAACTTTACAACCACCCCGCATTTGCCAGAATGAAGCCCTATCTCTCTCAAGCCTGCCCGTTCTACCTATCTAGACCCCTGCCAGGAAAGACTGCACAAGAAGATAGACTCACTGAACCAGAATTTAAAAATAATTATATTAATAATAAATATGTTAAGTTACATTTAAAACAATAAATAGAAAAATAAACTGATAAATAAAACCAACAGGTACAAAATGTTTCAAAACTTCAACCAAAAAAAAAAAAAGAAGAAGAAGAAGAAAAGAAAAAAGAGAAAACACATACAGACAGACAGCTGACAGACTAGACAAATGGACATTAGGGAAGGGTGCAAAATGCAACCTTGGGAACCCTTCACAGTTTACACCATGGCTCCCTCCTCTCCAGCTCACCCTCTCTCCCCAGGTTGGGGAACTGGACACTCAGTGGCTGACATCTGTGGGGACTCCAGCAATGCATAGAAGCATCTGGTTTGCCCCAGTGTCTGCAAAGCAGCCGAGGCCAGGGCTGGTGGGTAAGGTGGAGGTCTCCCTGCAGGAGGCGGGCGGGGGAGGACCAGGTCTACAGAGGCAGGTCGGTGCTGTTGTGCCGAGTCTTCCTGACAGTGCCATCATCTCGGGGCAGAGCCCTCTGCAGGTTGGACATGGCCACGGTCTTCTTGAGGTCAATCACGGCATAGGAGTCTGAGCTGCGAGCAGGGTGTGGGGTGGGCCCAGGAGCTCCGGACACTGCGGGGTTCTGGGGCCCTTTGGGACGGTCTGTGCCCCAGCCCTTGAGCTCCACCTGGATGTAGTTGAGCTGCCTTGAGGGCTCAGGGCCAGGCCGGCGGAAATCAAAGTTGAAGACTCTTGGGGAGCCTCGGCGGCGGGTCAGTGGGACAGGGAAGTTGCTGTGGCTACGGGTGGAGGAGCCCCGGGTGCTGGTAGGCTTCTGTAGTGGGGTTTCATCCTCCTCACCATCGGGGAAGCCATTTGAGGATGGTGTAAGCCCATCCCTGGAGTCCCCATCATCCCCAGCCTCCCGGCCCAGCTGCTGAGCTTGGCTCTCCCACACAGGAGGAAGCGGGGGCAGGTTCTCATAGTGCAGCAGTGCGGCCCTCCGGTGGGCCAGGCCACTCCACCCTGGCTCCTCTGGGCTCAGTCTCCAGCCAGCTGCTTGCCGCAAGCTCCCGCTGACATTCTCATAGGTGCATTTGGGCTGGGCTGGGCACTCAGAAGGGCCCTCATTGTTGTTGTGATGGGGAGGGTCATGCATGTTGGGACACAGGCTTTGGCACTTCATCGCCTGCCGCCGAGCTGGGGTGGGGCCCAACACAAACTTGACCTGCCCTGGCTGTAAGAACACCTGTGGGTCCCGCTGGTCGGAAACCCGGGTCTGTGGGAAGGGTGCCCGGCCCTCAGGCAGTGGCTGGAGGCAGTGGCGACTCCTGCAGTGGTCTTCTTCACCAGTTGGTGTGTTGACATAGGTGTGGGACTGCCGGGGAAAGATGCCAAGGGAACAAGTGGGTTTAAGGACTAGGAGGGTGGGAAAGGCAGTGGGACAGAACCAGAGGAACAGGAAAAGAGCCACGTTTCTTCTGCCGCCTCTAAACCTCCCAACATGCTCACCCTTCTGGGGGTAGAAAGGAGCCCTGCAGGGTTTCTTCCCCTTCCCACCTAGAGTGCAGCCTACCATATGCGCACCTGCTCATCGGAGCCAATGAGGGTGTGGGTAGACTCTTCCCCAAGTGTGGGATGTCGGAGGCTGCTTGTGGAGGGTCGGCGGGGAGCGGAGAACCGTGTGCCCTCTCCAGGGCAGCCAGGGCAGCCATTGGAGAGGCTGGAGACAGTGTAGCCTAGAGGTGGCAGCCAAGGGGAGGGGTATGGGAACCACCTGACAATCATTTACAATCCGATGCACACATTTGTGGGGTGCCCTGCAACTCCTCTGACAGCAAGGCAAGACACTCTCCAGGCTCCTAGTGTGACTAAGCCACAATGAACTGGAAGCCCTGGCCTGCCTTCTGAAGTCACCCTGAGGCCGGAGGCTGACCCAGCCTCCCACTCCAGCACAGCCTTACTTTAAACACGGAAGGTACACCTGTCACCCCGGGACCATCCCATGACTGCAGTCAGGCTTTGCCACTGAGCACCACATAAACACCACAGACGCAGGGACCATTTCTGTCCCTCCTATTTCCCCCAGATCCGGCCAGGGAATGCAGAGCAATAAGTAGCTGTGTAGTCAGAGACCCAACAAGCACAGACTGTGGGAACTCTACACAGTCATGGCCAGAGATGGCTGCACCAGTAAGTCAGGAGAGGTATATGTTGTATGTAACCCAGCCCAGTAGACAGAGGAAGCAAAAAGCTCCAGACTGCTGTTTCTATGGCAACCCAACGTCTTCCTGTCTGCTTCCCAACCACTAGTCGACCCAATGCCTAGGATTCTGCAGCTCCAGCTTGAGTCACCCAATTGGCCCTGCCCAGCACTGAGCCATCCTCAGGAATGGTTCTCATGATGGGGGAATGTCCAGGAAAGCTGGCTCAACCCTGCTATCCCCAACCTGCCAGCTTGACGTGGGCCTCCCAGACTCATGGTTCCTGGGGTGGGGGTCTCCTTACCAGTGGGTTGTGAGGGCCCTCGAGGAAGGTCGAGCTCTGGGGGGCGGCTGTTCCGTGTGACGATAACCGGCTCCTCCAGCACGCTGATGCTGTTACACTGCATAAGGTCCTGCAGCAGGTTGAAGATTTCCTCAGCCCGTGAGCACTTGAAAGCAAAGATCCCTGGAGAAGGCAAAAAAGCAACAAGGCTCTTGTCAAACCTAAGCGGCTAGGAAACATCAGCCAGTCAAAAGGAAATGTCCCTGAACTTCAGTTCCACCCTGTGCCTCTCCTTTCTGAGTACTCATCCTCGGGGCATTCCAGAACCCCAGAGACCCTGGAGGGACAGGCGGAAGGGGATGAACCCACAGCACCTGTCTCCCTACACTACCTGCTGCTATCTTCCCAAGGTCCAGCACTGCAGCCATATTCCCCAAGGTATGCTTGTTTTCATAAGGATGGCTGCTTTCCGGGGTGAAGCGAAAACCACAGAGAGTTGCCTTCATCTTCCTGTACCTACTACTCCCTGCCCTCCAGGGAAAACAAGCTCCACCCAATGCCCTCTTATCATTCACAGGTCACTCACGGGCTAGCCAGAAGGCAAAGGCCTCCTGTCCCCACACATGGGGCCTTGCAGAGCTTGGGTTCTGGTGCAAAGGGAAAAGATGGGCAGAGCTGAAGAGAAACACAGCAAGGCGGTCCTGCGGCTCCTGCTATGATCAGCCTCTAAGCCCTTCCAAGTCTGAGCTGACCCCAAAGTGACAGGAATGGGCTGAGCACCTGGAATTCAATGGCTCTAAAGATGGCAGCCTGGGGCTCTGCAACACAGGATCATGGGATTCAGGGACAGCTCTGGGGACACCTTGGGCACACATTCACAGCAAAGATAGATATATTACGAGATATGGCACCACACCTTCATAAGTAGTCACAAAGTTCAAGGCTGATCTGTGCTACCCATTAAAACCCTGTTCAAAAAAACCAGGGGGAAGGGTAGAATCTGTGGTAAAATGTTTACTTAGCATGCACAGACTCTGGGTTAAGTCCCAGCACCACACCCAAATAATAATAAATACAATTAAGTGGAAATATGGACAATGCATATTATATTATTGTTATAGTGTTGTCCATTCGCCCGAGTATAGAGCAACTGAAGTTTGTAGAAACAGAATGAGAGAGATGGGGAAGAAAAAACGGCTCTTCGGGCAGGAAATGTAAAAGCCGGAAAAGACAGGAAGAGGTGGTGTGACACCCTTCTGTGAACCCAGCACTTGAGAGGTGAGAGGAGACTCACCATGAGTTTGAAGACCAGTGAAGGCTACATATAACAAGACCATCTCAAAGGGGATGGGCGGTGAGAGATGGAGGAGGGAACGGAGAAGAGGAGGGAGGGAGGGGACAGAGAAAGTCTGGTATCAGGAGAAGCCCCCGCACTGGAATCTAGGACAGCCTCCCTCAGGTGCCAAGTGCAGATCAAGCGGCTCTGCCTCATCTCTCTGTTCACACGCCATGTTCTCCTGTGCCCTCTCGTGCCCATGAACTACAGGAATGAGGGGCATGGAGGAAAGGGCCACACAGCAGTCAACCCAGGAGACTCACTGGCCTGCGGCTGTCTCAGGAGACACTGATCTCCTCCACCTGTCTGCCTGCAGCACAATCTCAAGGACTCCTGGGGCTGAGACACATCTGAACCATAGACAAGCCCAAACCTCATGCCCTAACCTCAGCCTCATGGAACAACCTGCCAGTCCCTGACCTCTGGCTGCAGAGGGCAGATGCTCAGGGGGATCCAGTACTCTCCACTGCCCACAGGTGATGGCACACAAATGTTGGGCTCCTGAAGGCTAATCTGTATATGAGACCCAAGCTCCTGCTTCTCCAGATCTCAGCCCAGAGCAGCTGGTCTTCTTCCTGACCTCTCTTCCACTATGGATGAGATCCAGGGTGTATGGCATGGTAGCTAGGAAGGCTTTTATTTTCTACTGTAAGGGCAGTAGAAACCTGAAACCATAGCAACAATAGGAAGAGTGGTTTGTCTCTGCTAGGTAGACTCTGGCCTAGGAGCCCTGGCTACTTCATGGATGTGCACCAAATGTTCCCACAAGACTCGAGGAAGAACAGCAGTGATGCCTGAACCTTTCCCTGCTCTGAGCAACATCACCAAGTCTGATGTCTGATGTCAGTATGTGAAGGGCCACACTCCAATTCTGTAACAAGCTCATGTCCCTGTCCTGGAGGGCAGACTGGTACTCACCCTGGCCCGTCTGACAGCGGCGGCCACTCTCAAAGGAGAAGAGGTTGGAGTCATAGCCATAGCGCCGCAGGCAGAGGTAGGGCCAGCGGACAGCATCCCGCTGGTGCAGGTGCAGCACCAGCTCACTCTGGGTCAGCTCCATCACCCCTGAGCCCAGCTCCACCCCTTCATCGTCCACATTAGTCACCTGCAGGAAGAATGGACACAGGATCAGCAAAGAGCCCAAGAAGGTATGCAAGGGGCCCTGAGCACTGGGAGACAGTGACTGTGGGTATATGCAAGGGACCCTGAGCCACTGGGAGACAGTGACTGCGGGGTTAGGGCCAGCAGACTGAGTGGCTCTTATCTGTAGCACAGGTATACTGGCCCCCTTGGGTCACACGGACAAGTGCCATAGGGCATGACAGTTCCATGGGGACTGTCTCTCTAATCTCTTCTATGGTTCTCAGCTCTGACATTTGTAGATAGGAGAGAGGTCACCTGTTGACCCCCAAGGCCAGGTGGTTAGCTGTCCAATGCTCAAGAACTTCCTAGGGCTCAATTTCAAAGGCCAGGATGTCAACAAAGAAAGGTTTAACTGCTGATTCAAAGTCGAAAGACTTGCTGAACAGATACAGCAGTCCTCCAATACCCAAACTGCAAACTTGCTGAGGGCTCCCTCTCTAGTTGGGAAGGAGAAACGTTGGCCCTGACAAACCCCAGCGTGAGGAGAAGGCGCCTCCTGTGGGATGTAGGGAGCTAAGGTTCATAAAACACCAATACAGTGTTTCTTCAGGGCTATGTATGCTCTCTTTAAAACACATTATTCTTGGTGGTAAGGGGGTGGGGGGAAAGAACAACCAGAAATGAAAAAACAAGGGTTAGGTTCCCCCGGCAAACCACCTCAGATGTCAGAGAGCAAGCTCAGGGCACCTTACTGAGTCCACACCACAGCCTGTCATTTCTCCTTCCCGAGAGACACTGGAGGCCTAAACTCCACAGGCCCTGGGAACTCGAGCAGGGAGAGGCTCTGGGTACCTTGAACTTGGTAGGGTGGTTGTGTGGCACGCTGTCTCTGTCCAGGCAGCTACAGCAGCTCCCCATGGTGTCAGAGCAGCCTTTCCACCCTAGGGACAGACAAGGATGAGCAGGTCACCAGTCACCCTGCCAAGGAGCTCTGAGCAGACACCACACTGTGAGCACGTCCTCCAGCCAAGAGGTTGTGTGACACAGACACACCCTGAGGGAATGCTCTCTCAACCCGTGGTCAAACACGCTTGGGATAAACATTAATTTAAGTTAGAATGAGTGAAGGATTCCTACAGGTGGGGGACGGCAAGCTTCTCAGAGGTTGAGAGTCAGCTGGGCCTGGGAAGCACACAGGGGTCTGACCTGTGGAGTGACTGACTGGAAAGCTGCACAGCTATAAGGGGCACGGGGAGTGGCCGTCACAGTTGTGATCCTCATCTGGAGTCAGCAAACAGTGTCCCTTGGCTGTCCCAGATACTATCTTGTTCCGTTTTCTTCCCCTCGTTTTTCACCTTACCCATTTCACTCCATCCATGTTCTCTCTTTCCTCCCTTGCTCCACCCTAATATCCACCAGAAATGAGTACTTCTGGTGTTCTCTTCAAGTAAACTGCTAGTACACTGTGATCATAAAACCCAATAATCCAGGCAGTGGTGGCGCACACCTTTAATCCCAGCACTTAGGAGGCAGAGGCAGGCGGGTCTCTGTGAGTTAAGGCCAGCCTGGTCCACAGAGAGAGATCCAGGACAGCTGGGGCTACACAGAGAAACCCTGTCTTGCAAAAAACAAAAACCAAATTGAAACAAAACAACAAAAGAGGCAAACCCACACTTAAGGACTGAACACTGGAACTCACAGAGATCTTGTCTCGGCTTTCCAAGTGCTGGGAGTAAAAATACTACCAGGTTGGGCTCAAACTAGCATGGTTTTTTAAAAAACCTTGGATAGATATTTCTTCACTGAGGAAAAAAAATGCTGGGGCTAAGCATGTAGCTCGGCAGTCGGTACTTCCTATGAGACTCCAGATGGAACTCCCAGCACTCCACGAAAGCAACTCACAGAAGGCCGGGTTGCCTTCCCAAAGGTTGGAGCAGAGATAGGAGACCTTAGCTGGCTTTTCCCTTCAGGCTACTGGTAATGGGAAGACATCACAACAGACAGGTTTCTGCCTTACTATGGAGAGGAAACCACTTAGACCTCTGTGACCTAAGGGAACAAGACACACATGGACAGAACCCAAACAGAGATTTTGTTCTTCGTGCTGGAAATCCAATGCAGAGCTTTGTGCTTGCCACATGAGCGCTCTGCTGCTGAGCTACATTCCGAGGCCCAGACAGCAGGGCTTTTTATTTTTATTTTTGGTTTTTCGAGACAGGGTATCTCTGTAGCTTTGGAGCCTGTCCTGGAACAAGTTCTTGTAGACCAGGCTAGCTTTGAACTCATAGAGATCTGCCTGCCTCTGCCTCCCAAATGTTGGGATTAAAGGCATGCGCCACCACTGCCCAGTCCAGCCAGCAGTTTTAAGAGGTTCATTTTACTGCAAAAACCACAAGGTAGTGGATTATCCAGGAGCCTCTGTTGCTGTGGTAGAACCTTTAACAACCCAGTGACCTGTTTCCTACATTCCTCCCGAGTTAAGAAACTCTACAAAACTGACACCTAGCCGCAGTTCTTACCTCACCCAGGCCATTGGGGAGCCGACCCTGGGAGGGGCATGGGAAAGGATTCCCACTTCACTCCCCCTGTCCTTGGAGGGGTGTCATGGCCCAGCGTCTGCAGAGAAGTCACCTGGATTCCTGTGGGTCACAGCTGGGGCTCACCTAGCACAGGAGACAGAGACCATACGTTAATGGAAACCTACCCTCAGCCCCCCAACTCTTCATGGAACAGACTTATCAGTGTCTCCCACCTGGGTTTATCTGGTCCAGGTCCTAGTGGATCCTGGGTCCAGCTAGAAAGACCAATGAACACAACACGATCTCCGATGAAAGACCATAGATTTGCAGCTCTGGATGGAACTCCCTAGGACCAAGGACAATGAACTCCGAGGAGCCCAACACCTCTAGTTGGCAGCTGTCACTGGAGTCCCCTCGGAACCCTGCTGCTCAGACCACCACCTGACCTTGTAGAAAATTTCAACCCTATAAAAAGTTTTCTTTCTCAGAAGAACAATAACAATATGCTAGCTAGTTCAGCAAGAGCACCAGTTTAAGATTCTGAAAACCAACATTCTAGAACGTTTTGTAGTTATATCTGGGAGAGGGTTTGTCATTCTCCCTTCACCATCTCCAACTCCTGACCCTCCCCCTTTTTTGAGGAAACATCCATCAATTATGGGAGTTCTAGCTGAAGTAACTTCTAGAAGCAGTTATTAGTGAAGCACTTCCCACTAGGGCAGGCTTTCTGTTCCTAGTGTCAGAAAGGACAGTTACAACAAGAGGCAAATTTTCAGATCATCTGAGCCCTAGGTAGATGAATCAACAAACCAGGACTCCTAAGAAAACTCCTGAAATCCCTCCATCCCTCCTGGTCCAGGAAAACAGCACTTCCCAGTGTTCCCCCCACCAGCCCTGCACGACTCTAGAACCCCACACTCTTGGTCTGGTTAATTCTTTGGAAGGAGTAAGAAGGTTGAAGGAATTGTGTGCAGGCTAAAGGCAGGGACTGAAAAGACCATGGGGGCTTAAGCCATCAACAGGGTGTTGGGAAGGGATGTGAAGTCAAGAGCTACTGGATGTAAGATGGGGGAGGGGTTGCACCTTTCCGACTCCCCTCTTTTTCTTTGAGATTTCAAACACATTATTAGATAATTCATTGAGAGGGATTACTTTGGGTGGGGTGGGGGAGGCTCTGCTCTGAGGTAGGTAGGATTAGGGGTAGGCACTAGATGGAGGTATGCGGTCTGAAAATGTTTTGGAAGCCTTGGGAGATGGGCAAAGATTCTGGGTTTGGGCATGGTGCAGAAATGAAAAGGCTGAGGAATTTCTGGATGGTGACTGCGGAAGCCTTTGGGTCACTGAGGGGAGAAGAGATGTGCCTGTGGGTATTTCAAGAGGTTGGGAGAGTGAGTGAGGGGGTTCTGCGGAATCCTGGAGACCCGAAGGTGTAACCAGGGGAAGGGGAGAGGGTGGGGTCTGGGGAGCGAGAGGCAGAACTGGTTACAGCTTTTCTAGATACCCAGACGGAATGCAGAGGTCGCAGTCGCGCTCCGAGCCTGCATCCCCGCCCCCAGCCCCCGGGTCCGCCGCTAGCCCGCCCGCTTGGGGCTTTCTAGGATAGGAGCGGAGACTGCGGCGCGGCGCGACACGGCCTCGGTAGAGTCGCCTGGTCCCCGCCCCGCCGCGCCCCGACTCACAT